CCTCCAGTAGGACCAGTGTAGGGAGACCGAGCATGCAGTGGGGAGGCCGGCTGTAACCCAGGGGGGAAACCCAGGAAGACGCAGGGAGCAGCACGAGGGGACAGCTTGTCCGCAGACAAGTCGCGGACAAACGCCCGAGATCCCCAGACCCGGAACGCAGACGCATCGCCAAACTTCCCCGTCCACAGCAAAGCTGGGGAGGTCTCCGGCATGGAGACCCTGGGCTGAAGGTTGATCTGATGCGCCGCGTACGGAACCGCGAACGGCCAAAGAAAATGGGGGGCAGCCGCATGCATCATGGACGTACGGGCGACGTCCATGACCATGCCAATGCGGCGCTCAGCAATCCCATTTTGCTGTAGAGAGTCCGGAAGCGTGAAGGTCTGGCGGATGCCTCGTGCACGACAGTAGGCTCGCCGAAGGCTAGAGGAGAACTCTCCGCCTCTGTTAGAGTGCAGACGCAGAACAGGAAAGTATGAGCCGAAGCTCCGCCTGAGCTGGAGACGAGCTGCGCGGATCCAGTCGATCAACACCTCAGTGACATCACCCTTGCTGCGCAAGGGGAAGACTGTGGTGTAACGCGAGTAGTCGTCAACCACCAGCAGGAAGTAGCGCTCGTGACCCTGTCCACGGACGCGGGCCGGGCCCCACACGTCCATGTGAAGCGTCTGCAGCGGGGCCTCTGTCGGAGGAAACTGGGAGGAGTGAGGGGCAGCCCGCTGGCGCCCCTCGACACAGGGGACGCAGGTAGGGCCAGGCCTCGGAGGAAGGGGAGGGAGGGACCGGGGAAGACCAGAGACAAGGACACGGGAGGCCATGCTTCAGAGACAAAGCAGGGAGGGGTGACCAAGGCGATGGTGCTAGACGAGAGTCTCGTGAGACAGGAGACGACACGAGCAGGGGGCAGACTCAGGACCAGACCTGGACGCTGCAGCAAACACCTGACCCGACGCAGCTACCTGACCAGACGCATGGACTAGAGGAGACGCAGTGGTCAGTGTGTACAGGCTTGACCCCGGCCAACATGTAAACGTGGCCAGGTATCGGCCTGTCCGAGCGTCCGTGCAGTGGGTCACCCGCTGACTCGCAGGAGTGAACTGGTGAACCCCCGCATCCTGTAGGTCAGCACCACTCACCAAGTTCGTAGAGAACGAGGGGAGGTAAAGACCAGACAGGGTGCCAGAGGGGGCCGCCGGACACGGGAGGACAGTGGAGAAGTGAGCAAGGACAGGGCCCCCAGAGGGGTCTGCCAGGGAGACTGCAACTGGCCAACCAAGCGGCGGGAGTGTGGTGCGGTCTCGAAAGAAGGAGCGAGAAGCCCCCGAGTCAAGTGTGAAGGTATGGGAGGCCGAAGCCGACGCAGTACCTGAGAGCGCAGACTCACCAGTACTAGAGGAAGCAGACGCACTAGCACCTAGAGCAGCAGCCTCGGTGGCACCAAGAGCAGCAGCCTTACCAGCACCTAGAACAGCAGTCGCAATGCCCGGGTCGGGCGGGAAACACCGGTAACAGTCACCATCCTCACTAATAGTCACAGCATACATGGCAACAAGAATAGCATCAAAGTCAAGGTCAAAGATAGCTACCCCTGCCCTAGACAGCTCGCCCCAGCGAGGGATCTCAGTGGCCTCAGGGAACTGGTGACGCCAAGCGTCCGTCAGGCGGCCAAAGCAGCGCTGGGTGGGGTGCGCACCCCCACACTGCTCACCCGCACGGTCGCCGGTGCGCAGGACGTAGGTGCACGGACCAGTACCCCCACCCCGCTGGCGTGCAGCGTACCACTCACGGAGCTGCTGAGGGGAGAGGGTCTCTCGACTGCGCTGCTGCTGCTGGCGCTAACCACCACCGGAGCCACTCCTCTGCAAAGAGCCACAACCTCCTCCTCCTCCTCCTATGCCACTGCCTCCTCCACCTCCGCCACCTCCACCACCTCCGCTCCCACTGCCACCGCCGCCGCCGCCGCCTCCGCCTCCACTGCCACCGCCGACACCACCACCCCCGCCACCACTCCCACCACCACCCCTCCCCCCTCCACTGCCTCCACTACCGCCTCCACCGCCACCGCTAGCTCCTCCAGTGCCCCTGCCTTCCTTGCCCTTGCCAGAGCGATGCTTCCCACTAGGGGTAGATGCCGCACTGACCGACTCAAGACCAACAAGGTCGGCCGCACCAGCAGAGGCAACAGAGGGCAAAAGAGGGGAGGGGGAACACCCCTCAAAGATGGGGGTGCGCGGGTCACCACGAGAGGCCCCTACAGCGACTATGCTCTTCTCCGCTGCTAGGAGGGCCTTCTCGAGGAGGTCAGCAGTGAGAGTGGTGGGACAGACTTAGAGAAAGTGGTCCCTGACTACACGAAGGGAGTCAGGGAGGCGGGTGACTATGTAGTAGAGAGTGATGTACATGGGAGGGGGGTTCTTGGCGCAGAACTCAGCAGGAAGCGCAGCGCGGTAGCAAGTGTCACTAGTGCGGAGGTGCGTAATGAGGTCAGCGACTGTGGGAAAGGCAGCAAGGTTAGGGAAGAGGTACGGTAGCATGAGGTGGCTCAGTGCAGCAGTGGCTGGGGAGGAGTAGCGTGCAACTACAGCGTCGTACAAGGTGTGAGCACTCTTGTACTGGCTAAAGTGCGCACGCTCAGAGGTAGGCAGGTGGCGACGCATAGCAAGACGTGTAGCAGCATCGCGCGTGGCCCACTGTGAGCGGACTGTGGCGTCAGCATCAGCAGCAAGGGCAGGAGAGGCACCAGAGGTGAGGTCAAAGAGAGAGAGAGACCGTCCGCCCTATCGCACTGTAAGAAAAGCTGCAGGTCATCTATCTAGACGTCAAAGTCAATGGCGCGACCCTCAGCGTCAAAAGCGAGGACACTAGGGGTAGCCATGACAGCAGTAGACTAGCAGCACGAACAGTAGGGTGAGGGCAGTGCAGTGACAGAGGCGCTGCTCTTACCAGACAGGGCGGCTCGGGCGGCTCGGCTGCAGGGCGACTCGGCGGCTCGGCAGCTGGGCGGTAGGCGGCTCGGCAGCTGGGCATCTCGGCAGCTCGGCTGCTGGGCGGCTCGGCGGCTCGGCTGCTGGGCGGCTCGGCGGCTCGGCTGCAGGGCGGCTCGGCTGCTGGGCGGCTCGGCTGTTGGGCGGCCTGGCAGGGCCGCTGAGAGAGCGGCGTCCGGGGCCGCTGGGAGGAGGCGGCGCCAGCAGGTAGGTGGCGTGGCCGCACATGTAGGTGGCGGGGCCGGGGGTAGGTGGCGGGGCCGTTAGTAGGTGGCGGGGTCGTCAGTAAGTGGCGGGGCCGCAGTAGGTGGCGGGGCCGTCAGTAGGTGGCGGGGCCGTCAAGGAAGGCGCCGGTAAGGGTGGCGTCAGGGCCGCAGGGCGGCGCGAGGGCCGCTGGGTGGGCGAGGAGGCCGCAGGGCGGCGGATCGGGGCCGGGAAAGGGCGGCGCGATGGCCGCGGGGTAGGTGACGAGGCCGCCGGGCGGCGGGTCGGGGTCAGGAAGGGCGGCCCGAGGGCCGTATTGCCGGCGACAGGGCCACTAGGGCGGCGCGACGGGGCGAGAAAAAGGGGAGCGCGACTCGGGCTAGGGCTGAGCGCACTCCGGGCAGGAAAAAAAAGTCGAATTGGTGGGCCCTAGGAACAGTTCCCACGAGGGAACCTGCTCGATACCATGAGAAAAATGAAACGAGGATGATTGAACTATGAATGAATTGGGTACAAGTACTAACCCTAATTGGGTTGTACCCCTTATGGGCTACCCCACTATAGCCTACACAATATGCATAAGCTACAATGTTCTGACAATTGGGTACAAGTACTAACCCTAATTGGGCTGTACCCCTTTTAGGAGATCCTATAATCCAAACTAGCTCTCATACCATGTTAGCGGGAGGATCTTGGATAGGATAGGAGGTGCTTTGGTAGAGTTGGTAGCGGAAGTCTTGTAAGAACTCAGATCATAGTGAATGTAGATGACCAAGTTGATCTAAAAGATAGAATACAAGGAATATAAATAGTCCTAGTCTAGCCATTTACTCTAAGGGGTACATTCCCTTATTATAACTGTTTTACAGGCACTTCTACAGTGACTCTGACTGTTGTACTGCCTTTCTTGTTACCGAGTCGTTGCATGTAGCCTGTACGGTTACGCCTGTTGCCATTCCTCGATGGTGAGTCAAGCGTCGGTCCAGATGGTCAACAGTCGCGACAGTTGACTCTTGCGACTGTTGACCTTCCTGCCCTTGTTACGGGCTGATCCGATATTGCGGTAGTTGCTGTTTCGATAGAGTCAGGTGCGATACTGCTGCACCTACGGGAATGCTAAGTATGATTCCCTTCACACTCCAACAATCGGCGTAGTAGTCTTATCGCGAATCGATTTGACATAGCAAGTTTGCTATGTGAAGCTCATGTGAGTTTTGCGCCAAATTTCGCTATGTCAGGTTCATGGCGAATTTCATCCTACCGCAACCGTGTGAAGCATGAACGAGTCAGTTGGACTGAGCCCATCAATCATCGGGCATGAAATACCACACGCAACGCGTAAATTCTCTGATCAGAAGGCGTGATTCCTCATCGAAAGGCCTTATCTGTCGTCAGGGATCGTCGTCTCTCGATCTTAAGTGCAGGTCATTATGGACTCCCAGCTAATGAGAGACGAGAAAACCTACACGATTAGCTGCGCTTCAATTGATTGCGCTTTCTTGTCACATCTCATCATTTCAGTCATAAGAATCTCTGAGGGGAAGGACAGATCATTCGGTTCAGGTCTGAACGCACACATCACCCAATTCAAATCTGGCGTTTTTTTCTCTTCCTTTCCTTTGTTACCTCCCTGCACTCACCTTGTGCCTTACCCTGCTCCTACTACCCTCGCCCCGCTTGTTTTTCTCGTCATAACTGACAGAATTTGCTATCTTCGCCTTTCTTGTTCTCTCCGTCGTCGCCACTGTGCCTTCTCTCTTTCCTCCCGACCTCTCGTGCCCGTCCCTTCATCAGCACTCAATCCTGTTCCGCATGATCCTAATCGTTCGCAACTCCTTTTGCTCCTTCTCCTCTTTACTGTCTTAAATATGACATTGGTGTTATTATATTTAGACATCCGTATACGTTCATATCATTGTATCCTTCAGCATACCACTCATCCTCAACGTTGCTATTCAAATTAACAATTTTTTTTGTCAATTTCACAGTTGTGGTGCTTCTGCATGCAGTTTCGGAATGCGATTAGACAACGACGCTATTGGGAGTTCTTCGGAGCACCAAGCGGGAACTGACAGGCTGGTGCTGGCAATGGAGATGAGGCTTGTCAGAGGTCCACTGGTGATCCCCGATTGATCCTAGGGAAAGGTTACAGGCATGTTGGACTGGGGGGGTTATGGGCGCACTTACCCGCTACATGAACAAGCCCTTCTATCCCAATGGTCTAGTGGTTGGGATTCTGACATGGTATTAGATCTAAGGTCTCGGGTTCGAATCCCGGTGTGTGCACTTCGGGCATCCCAGTGCGGGGGGGTGTCAGAGGTCCACTGGTGATCCCCGATTGATCCTAGGGAAGGGTTACAGGCATGTTGGCCTGGGGGGTTATGGGCGCACTTACCCGCTACACAAACAAGCCCTTCTATCCCAATGGTCTAGTGGTTGGGATTCTGACAAGGCTGAGGGCGCTGGAAGGACAACTGGAGGAGACACGAAGGGGACTGGAGAAGCTGGTGGCAGTCAAGGGTGAGCTGGCGACAGTCAAGGGTGAGCTGGTGACAGTCAAGGGTGAGCTGGCGACAGTCAAGGGTGAGCTGGCGACAATCAAGGGTGAGCTGGCGACAGTCAAGGGTGAGCTGGCGTCAGTCAAGGGTGAGCTGGCGACAGTGAAAGTGGCGCCAGGGGAAGGAGGGTCGATGGAAGTGAAAAGGGAGCTGGTTGAACAGGCGGACTGCTTGCGAAAAGTGGAGGAGGAAACGGTGGGCATGGAGGGGGAGGTGCAGAGGTCGAGGAAAAGAGGGAATGAGGCAGCAGCGACGGCGTGCCCGGCACCAAAGCGTGTCGATACAACTCTGGATCTGAAGGGTCTCTTTGGCCTCTCATATACCCTTCTCGGTCACGTGGCCACCATGACTCTCAAGCACGTCCACCTCGATGGGTCATCAGGCTTCTCCTTTGACGGCATCAAGGGGCTCTATTCTCTGCCACAACTGGAGCGCTTGGAGCTGAAAAGCAGCGTAGTAAGTGATAGCACCCTGGATGGCATTGGGAGGGTACGGACTTTGAATCTTCTCTACCTCAACCGCACTGAGGTGACTGATTCTGGGTTGGTGCACTTGACGTGCCTCACTGCCCTCAAGACTTTGATACTATACAAGTGCTGGAAGGTGACTTGTGCTGGCATGGTGCACGGTGGGAGGATGACAAGCCTCGAGGAGCTGTACCTGTTCGGAAGTGGGGTAAAAGACGAGGGGCTGCGATTTCTGACACCTTTGAGCAAGCTCAAGAAGCTCATACTCCCGGATACGATAACTGATGCTGGCATGGAGCACATTCAGTGCCTAACTGCTGTGGAATACCTGGATTTCAACAATTCTGTAGCGACGGAAAAGGGTGTGAAGCTTCTGGGAAGTTTACCTTGTTTGAAGCATATTAAAGCGTACGGTGATGGCTTTCAGACATTGCTGAGGATCATTCTTCCTGGAGTGGAAGTGGTTAGTTGCCTTCCGCCCGGCGTTATTTGCGGTGATTAAGACTGAAATTTTATTCAGGCCAAGTATGGTGAGAACCGGAACATCTGCTGGCATGGTGCATGTGGGGAGGCCGGTGCGGTTCATGGTTGGGAGGGGTGGTGATGAGGTGGAAATTAAAAGTGAACAAGAAGGCTGAGGAATCTGTACATATGGACAGATTTGAATTATCATGTAAATAATCGTCAAAGACTCAAAAGTGATATAATGTCAATCGTCTTCCATCATAAACAGAATTCAGTAATGTATTGTTTATCCTGTTACCAGCATGAGACGTATCCTGTATTGTATCTGGCATGTGCCATTGATGTTAATGTCTCCCATTTGTGTGCTGGTTGAGAGAATGTCATTTATCACTAGCATTTAACACACAAAACTATACCTCGAAATGAGTCACAACGTTACCGCGTATTTATTTGCTCGTTGTTGGTTACCACCCCTTCTTGCGAACTGAAGTGTCGTCCCAGTCGCTGCGTATCCTGGTGTGAGCCATCTTGTCGTGGAAACCCGACTCAGCGAAGTGTGTTGTGAGGCTGTGTAAGGAAATTCCCTTTTCCTTACCTCGCGTCCCTGCTCAACGCGTACATCACTGTAGCACCTCAGTCAGCACCGTTACCACTCGCGACCATCGCATCATTCATCATCCCGCCCTTTTCGCACATCGCATCCCGACCTCACGGCTCGGCTGGTAACCCGCGCTCCGGGCCTACGCTTCCACATTTTCCCAACCTCAGTCCCAGGCTTGTCGCGCGACAACCACAGTCCATTACCGTTACCACTATTGTTTTCGCTATATAATCCTTCGCTCATGCCTTCGCTCATTGTACTCTTGCTTCGATAGTGCAATTCTCGTTCGTTCCCTCAATTGCACTCGTAACACTTGGTATTCAGAGCCTACGATCTCATCTCGGACCGCATCCACACCTTCACTTCCCACTATCTCAATTTTTGGGGGGGGTAGACGTCTCTCAGCGATACAGCACCGCCGCTCGTAGTGCTCTCTCGGAAGCACGCACGGCCACGACTGAGGCTCTCGCTGAGCTTGCCCGACACCCCTGCCATGGCTGATTTCACTATCGCCACGCTGACGCAGGAGCAACTCGATCGTCTCGTGCGACAGTTGGAGGAATCAGCGCTCGAAATCGCGACGCTCACGGCGGAACGTGACTCCGCCCGTCAACAGTCAACGGTGAATGCTCCGACGACTTCCCAAGCGCCAACCAATGTTTCTGTCCATTCGGAGGAGCCGATTGTTATCTCATCCGGCACACCAACGCAAAACAACAGCACGGGACAGCGCTCAGGCGCAGCCAGTGACGGCGCAGCCCAACCGATGCCCGGCATGGGAGGGAACAGGAATGCATCAAGCCCACGGGAGCCCCGAGAAGCCCGTCGGCACGTGGAGTTTGCGACGACAAGTGGAGAAATCGCCATGATGGCCCCAATGCCACTCAAGCCGCAACGCCCGCCCTGCTTCGACCCAAGCCAACGCGGTGGCCCGACAGTTCAATCGTGGGTCTTCACGATGAATGTGTTTTTCGACGCCAACTACGTCGAGTCGGACGCCGCCAAGATTCGGTATGCGGTTTCACTACTCAGGGGCCCCGCCATGGACTGGTGGCGAGTCATCGTGACGTCGCCACGCGCCTACGAGCCACCGTCGCACGAGGAAGGGCCCTCGGGTCCAGCTGTCACCTGGAGTTCGTTCTGCGAAACAGCCCAATACAGCACGTGGGATGCGTGGTGCGCAGGACTTCGGGCGCGCTTCGAGCCGATTGCGGCTTCGATTTCGGCGCGTCAGAAACTACGCACTTGGCGCCAGCTCGGGTCGGTTCAAGACTACACCAGCGGTTTTCTCGCACTTTGCGAACAGGTCGGCTACATGCACGAAGCGGAGCGGGTGGACCGTTACGTCGGGGGACTGAAGCCGGACATATCGCACGAGATAATGCTACGCGGGCTATCGAATTTCAACGAAATCCTCGCGCTCGCCGAGAAAATCGATATCCTACGCCGACCGAGACCGGGGTCCTATTTCGAACATCGCCCTCGGGGACCGATCGAGCACGCCACCGTACATGCCGTCGCAACGAATGCAGCTGCCACGCCATTTAGAGGGCGCTGCTTTGCTTGCAACCGGTCGGGCCATCGCACGAGCGAATGTCCAGAAGAGCTGAGGCGTCGAGGAGTAGAGCAGGGGAGGGAGTCTCAGAGGCAGGGAAACGCCAGCAGTCAGTAGAAATCGGGCCAACTACTGACGAGACTGCCTGCTCGCCCAACCACACCGACCCTCACCGAGTCACAGTACCGATTCACGCCATCGATCGGGCTCGGATGAATAAGGAGGGTACAGCGACGGATTGCCCAGTACTGATCTACGGGAAAATACAGGGAGCAGCAGTGAAGATCTTTATTGACGGAGGAGCAAGTCATAGCTTAGTTAATACCGCGACCGCACGAAAATTACAGTTGATACTTACCCGATGCTTACCTGAGATAGATGCACGCTTAGTCGACGGCACGCCACTGGCCATAAGGGAAAAGGTGGAGCGAGTAAAAGTCCGCTGCGGGGGGAACTTCGGATTTACACAGGAAATGCTCGCAACGACACTGGATGGGCACGACATTTTATTGGGACGTGATTGGCTGCGACGGTACAACCCATGGATTGACTGGACGACGGGGAGCTGCACAGTGCGAAGTAGCGGTAACTGGGTCGTTCTACCTCGCTGGCGGTCACCCGAATCTTCGACAGTCCAGGTCAACGCCGTCACGATGAAACGGGCTGTCGCTGCGGGAGCTGACGTGTACGCAGTAGATATCGCAATCGTAGAAAAAGACGAGCAGCAAAGTGATTTCGAGAAACTGCTAGCAGCCGTACCGAACGAATTACAGACACTACTGAAACGGTTCCAGGGGATATTTCCGGATGATCTACCACAGGGACTGCCACCTCAGCGGGCGCACGACCATAGGATAGTGTTAGAACCGGGGGCACAGCCAACAGTACAGCGGCAATTTCGACTGACACAACCCGAACTCGACGAGTTAAGGAAGCAGTTAGATTACCTATTAGAGAAGCAGTTTATTCGACCAAGCTCGTCACCGTTCGCCGCACCGATACTGTTCACACCGAAAAAAGACGGAGGTTTTCGCATGTGCATAGACTACCGAGCGCTTAACAGGGTTACAATCAAATCGCGATACCCCATCCCCCGCGCTGACGAACTGATTGACCAACTACGAACAGCGCGAGTTTTTTCGAAAATAGATTTACGGGGAGGTTACCATCAGATTCGGGTCGAACCATCGGACTGCGCCAAAACAGCGTTTAGGACTAGGTACGGGTCATTCGAGTATACAGTGATGCCTTTCGGGCTGACGAACGCGCCTGCAACTTTTCAGATGACCATGAACGAGGCGTTTCGACCACTTTTAGATAAATGCGTGATAGTTTACCTGGACGATATTCTAGTTTATAGCCGGGATAAGCAGCAGCACTTAGTCGATCTTGAAGCGGTTTTTCAGGTCTTAGAGAAACATCGCCTACTCACCAAGGGTTCCAAGTGCGAGTTTTTTAAGGATAGGCTAGAGTTTTTAGGTCACGTTATTTCGGAGGCTGGGGTTGAGATTGACCCAAAGAAGCTGGATACAGTAAAAGCGTGGCGCCCTCCGACGAACATCACGGAACTACAGAGTTTTTTGGGTTTTGTTAATTACGTTCGACGGTTCGTGCCCGACATGGCACGTTTAACAGCCCCGCTCACTGATTTACTACGTAAGGGGGTCGTTTTTACGTGGGGGGAGAAAGAGCATGTTGCCTTCTCTGCCCTGAAAAACGTTCTCTGCTCACCACCCGTTCTACGCATCGCCGACCCCCACCGACCCTTTGAAGTGGTTACCGACGCAAGTGACATCGCCATCGGAGCTGTACTGTTACAGGACTTCGGCGACGGCCTCCAACCCATCGCCTACGAATCACGCAAACTACATCCGCCTGAGCGAAATTACCCGATACACGACCGCGAAATGCTCGCGATCGTGCACGCATTCAAAGTGTGGCGCTGCTACTTGACCGGCGCAGACGTGACAGTACGGACAGACCACAAATCTCTACAGTACCTCCGCGCACAGCCTCACCTCAACCCACGACAGATTCGATGGCTCGATTTCCTCGAGTCGAATTTTCACTAGACGGTCACCTACAAAAAAGGAGCATCGAATATCGCCGACGCACTGACTCGCCCTACTGCCCAGATTCACGCGATATTACTCGCCCAGACCAGTCCACTGCTGACAGGCCTATTTACCCACGGATATCAAACAGACCCGTTCTTTACAGGAGGCAACTCACAGCAATTCGCAACGGCAAAAGGAGTCTATTACGTAAAAACTGGAACCGACCGCATCTGGGTACCGGGGTACACGCTACTACGGGAACTACTGTTACAGGAAGCACACGAGGGAGTTACCTCGGGACATTTCGGGGTAGAAAAAACACGGCAGCGACTGCAGCGATACTACTACTGGCCGGAAATGTTGACCGATGTGCAACGACACGTGGCATCGTGTCCCACTTGCCAGCTCATGAAGTCAAGCAGGAAGCGGCCGGCGGGACAATTACAACCCATCCCGCCTCCAGAGCGTGCTTGGCAGCAGGTGACAATGGACTTCGTCACGGGGTTACCAGCTGGGGCGAGTGGGAATGATGCGATCTTGGTCGTCGTCGATCGACTCACGAAGATGGCACATTTCGCAGCATGCAGGAAATCAATCACAGCCGAAGAAACCGCCCGACTCTTCATCACCACCGTCGTTCGACTGCACGGGATACCCGCATCGATCATCAGCGACAGGGACACGAAGTTTACCAGCAACTTCTGGCGGAACCTGTGGCAGCAGTTCGGCACACGACTTCAATTCAGTTCATCCTATCACCCTGAAACCGACGGACAGACGGAACGGACAAACCAAACCATGGAGCAGCTGATTCGAGCCACGTG